AAGAAATGGATAAATTCCTGGACTCCTGTGCCCTCCCAGCCTAAACCAGGAGGAAGCCAAAACTATGAATAGACCAATAACAAGGTCTGAAGTTGAGGCAGCAATTAAGAGCCTACCACACAAGAAAAGCCCAGGTCCAGATGGGTTCACAGCCGAATTCTACCAGACACACAAAGAGGAGCTGGTACCATTCCTTCTGAAACTATTCCAAATAATCCAAAAAGAGGGAATCCTTCCCAAATCATTTGGTATCATCCTGATACCAAAAGCAGCAGAGACCCAAAAAGAAAAGAAAACTTCAGGCCAATATCCATGATGAACATTGATGCAAAAATCTTCAATAAAATATTGGCAAGCCGAATGCAACAGCAAAACAAAAAACTTATCCATCATGATCAAGTAGGAATCATCCCGGGGATGCAAGGCTGGTTCAACATATGCAAGTCTCTAAACATAATTCACCACATAAACAGAACCAAAAAGAAAAACCACATGATTATCTCAATTGATGCAGAGAAGGCATTTGACAAAATTCAACAGCCCTTTATGCTAAAAACCCTCAATAAACTCGGTATCGATGGAACATATCTCAAAGTAATAAAAGCTATTTATGACAAACCAACAGCCAATATCATACTGAATGGGCAAAAACTGGAAGCATTCCCTTTGAAATCCAGCACTAGACAAGGATGCCCTCTTTCACCACTCCTATTCAATATAGTACTGGAAGTTCTAGCCAGAGCAATCAGGCAAGAAAAAGAAATAAAGGGTATTCAAATTGGAAAGGTGGAAGCCAAATTGTCTCTATTTGCAGACGACATGATAGTATACCTAGAAGACCCCATCGCCTCAGCCCAAAAACTCCTGAAAGTGATAAGCAACTTCAGCAAAGTCTCAGGATATAAAATCAATGTGCAAAAATCACAAGCATTCCTCTACACCAATAACAGACTTAAAGAAAGCCAAATCAAGAACAAACTGCCATTCACAATTGCTACAAAAAGAATAAAATACCTTGGAATACAACTCACAAGGAACGTAAGGGACCTCTTCAAGGAAAACTACAAAACACTGCTCAACGAAATCAGAGAGGACACAAACAGATGGAGAAACATTCCATGTTCATGGTTAGGAAGAATTAATATCATAAAAATGGCTATATTGCCCAACGTAATTTACAGAATCAATGCTATACCCATCAAGCTACCATTGACTTTCTTCACAGAACTGGAAAAAACCACCATGAACTTCATATGGAACCAAAAGAGAGCCCGCATAGCCAAGTCAATTCTAAGCAAAAAGAACACAGCGGGGGGCATCACAATGCTGGATTTCAAGCTATACTACAAGGCTACAGTAATCAAAACAGCATGGTACTGGTACCAAAACAGAGATATAGACCAATGGAACAGACCAGAGGCATCGGAGGCAACACAACACATCTATAACCATACAATCTTTGATAAACCCGACCAAAACAAGCAATGGGGAAAGGATTCCCTGTTCAACAAATGGTGTTGGAAAAACTGGCCAGCCATGTGCAGAAAGCAGAAACTGGACCCTTTCCTGACACCTTATACAAAAATTAACTCCAGATGGATTAAAGACTTAAACACAAGACCTGGCGCCATAAAAACCCTAGAGGAAAATCTAGGCAAAACCATCCAGGACATAGGAGTAGGCAAGGACTTCATGAACAAAACACCAAAAGCACTGGCAACAAAAGCCAAAATAGACAAATGGGACCTAATCAAACTCCACAGCTTCTGCACAGCAAAAGAAACAGTTATTAGAGTGAATCAGCAACCAACAGAATGGGAAAAAATTTTTGCAGTTTACCCATCTGACAAAGGGCTGATATCCAGAATTTACGAAGAACTCAAACAGATTTACAGAAAAAGAAGAAACAAGCCCATTCAAAAATGGGCAAAGGATATGAACCGACACTTTACGAAAGAAGACATATATGAGGCCAACAATCATGTGAAAAAATGCTCATCGTCACTGGTCATCAGAGAGATGCAAATCAAAACCACATTGAGATACCATCTCACGCCAGTTAGAATGGTGATCATTAAAAAATCTGGAGACAACAGATGCTGGAGAGGATGTGGAGAAAAAGGAACACTTTTACACTGTTGGTGGGAGTGTAAATTAGTTCAACCATTGTGGAAGACAGTGTGGCGATTCCTCAAGGCCTTAGGAATAGAAATTCCATTTGACCCAGCAATCCCATTACTGGGTATATATCCAAAGGACTATAAATCGTTCTACTATGAGGACACATGCACACGAATGTTCATTGCAGCACTGTTGCCAATAGCAAAGACCTGGAATCAACCCAAATGCCCATTGATAATAGACTGGATTGGAAAAATGTGGCACATATACACCATGGAATATTATGCAGCAATCAGAAATGATGAGTTTGTGTCGTTTGTAGGGACATGGATGAATCTGGAGAACGTCATCCTCAGCAAACTGACACAAGAACAGAAAATGAAACACTGCATATTCTCACTCATAGGACGGTGATGAAAAATGAGAACACATGGACACAGAAAGGGGAGTACTAAACACTGGGGTCTATTGGGGAGAAAAGGGGAGGGCCAGTGGGAGGGGGAGGTGGGGAGGGATAGCCTGGGGAGAAATGCCAAATATGGGTGAAGGGGAGAAGGAAAGTAAAGCACACTGCCATGTGTGTTCCTACGCAACTGTCTTGCATGCTCTGCTCATGTACCCCAAAACCTAAAATCCAATAAAAAATAAAAAAAAAATAAGTTGAAAACACTTCAGTGGGTATGAATAGTGTTCAATGTAAATTCAAAATAAATATTCTCCAATTAAAAAAAAAAAAGCATTCCCCAAAATACGCAAAACACAACCAGAAAGTCTACTATCATCTCTACTACTCAATTTGGAGATCTTTGCCAATCGAATAAAACAAGGTAATGAATAATGAAAACCTCAGAGGATTAAGTTCAGAAAGGAAGCCAAAATATATCATTTTCACATAAAACACTCTTTACACAGAAAACACTTTTAAATAGCATAGAAAGATACAAGAGACAAACAAGAAACCAAGAAACCATTTTGGGTAACAATAACATAAGAGGGAGGAAATGTAGAATTCCCAAGTCTAGAGAAAATTATTTTATATTCAAAAACAATTTATATTCTTCGAAGGTATCCTATTTCTCAGTTTTATATATTTAGTAACAGAACATGGAAATATATAAAGCAAAAATATAGAAAGCAAAGAGAAAGGTTAGAAAAAATTATGTCAACATTATCCACGACTATTCAGTAATGGACATTAACATATATCAAATTATCTATTTGCCAAAGCTGTATTTCAATCTAAATTGGCTCATAAAATGACTTTTACTGAAATTTGTTTTGACAGGTCCTTTAAGTGATGCTGATGCCAGGTTGAGAACCACTGGTCTCTAAGATCAAAGCCAGGTTGCCCACTTTTGTATTTCTGTTTTAGTGTTCTTCTGTCAACCTGAATATTACTTCCTCAGAAAAACTTTCCATGATCATTTAGTCCAGATTTTAGCAAACTTCTTTCAGAAAGCACCATGGTCTCCATCTGATATATTTGAATTGTTTAAAAATAATATTTAAAAAATGTTAAAAGAAATCACTCATAGCTCACTGGCTGTAGAAGGCAGGTCTCTGTGGGATTTGCCTATGGGATGCAGTTTGCCAATTCCTGAAGTAGACTAGTTAAATGGTTGGTATTTCACTGACATAGCCCTTATCACAACTACAATAAAGAATTATTTAAAAGGCTGCCAGCTTAGCTGGGGAGATAGTAAATATGGTCAGGTAATTTTTAAATCAAAACTAGAGAAATTTGTAACTGTAAAATGGAATGAGAAATTGGACTTCGAATGCTTTAGGACTAAATGTTATAGTCTGATAAAATTGCTCAATTCCTACTGAAGATTAGCCATGAATTCTGAGGTGAAAGAACTCATGACTTTATCTAAGACATCCTATTGTCTAGCAGAAGTTTCTTCAAAAAAGGAAATGTTTGATAATCTGTGCCATCCAATAAGATAGCCTTTGAGCCTCTGAAACGTGATTACATGTGGCCTTTGAGCCTCTGAAACGTGATTAGTGCAACTGAGAAATTAAATGTTTAATTTAATTTATACTAAATTAAAATAATCACAAAAAAAAGAAAAGATACTCAGCATCATAGCTCATTAAGGAAGTGCAAAATAAAATCAAATTAAGACACTACTATACACCTTTTAGAATTGCTAAAATAAAATAACTGATAATACAACATGCTGGTGAACATGTGGAAACTCATATGTTTCTGGTCGAAATACAAAACAAGATAGTCACTTTAGGAAACAGTTTTCAAAAAATAAAAAAGAAAGAAAATGAAATTTTTATTTTAGATTAGCCTGGCACAGAGGTGCATGCCTGCAGTCTCAGATACTTGGTGGGGTAGCCTGAGGTGGAAGGGTGGCTCGAGGTGAGGAGTTCAAGGCCGCACTGAGCTATGATCACATCACTGCACTTCAGCCTGAGCAATAGAGTAAGACTCTCTCCCTCTTTCTCTCTCTCTTTTTTCTTTTCTTTCTTTCATTCTTTCTTCAAAAAAAAGAATTATTTGTAAAATTATCTGTCAAATGCTTATTATCTCTGTTACATTATAAACTCCACAAAAGCAGTGATAAAAGTGCCTCTCTACATCACCATTTAATTCCTAATTCTGACATTGCCTATATAACTTATTGTCCAAACTTGGACATTTTGAGGATAAAGTGGGATACTATTAACAGGCATGACTTGATAAAATGTATACACCAGGACAGACCTGTGAAAATCCACACTGGAGGACATCCTAAAGTGCTTAGCACAGAGATTCCCACATAGTAATTTCTGAGGGAAAGCTGTTGGAAGATTAATCGATAAATGAAAGAACAAATGAATGAATGAGTAAGGTATGTTTAAAAAAAAAAGATTGCTTCTCTTACCTGTCCAAAATAAGGGAGTCCCTGTTTGTAGGACATATCCATATTCTTAAAACTAATCTTCACCATTGATGAGTCTATGTATATGGACTTGGAGCCTGTAAGCTGTACACCTGAAGTCAAGTAAGCATTATTAAGAAAATGTCACCCCCAAAAATATCCAAACAGAACTTCTGAAAAAAAAAAAAACTCAGGCTCACCATTCCTTCTAATGGTTTCCCTTCCCTAAGCAGTTTTAATATATAGGTACTTCTTCAGATGTCTTTTATAAAGAAAGTTAATCAAGATGGCACAAAACGCTTGTGACAACTGGGATTGCTGCTTTTTATGAAATATTCATGATGGATTTGTAAACGTTGATTTCTCATTATTCCTAAGTAATTGCTTAACAACATTTCTTTTACTCTCTGCTTGCTTAAAACATGTGCTTTAACTTATTAATAGTAAGAATTATATATATATATAATTAAAAAGGGGAATGCTTAAAGACAATACAAATTGCCAAACATTAGCTATCCCCAAGAGAACCAAAATTAACATTTTAGCCTTTTTTCTGCATGTTCTATTTACCTTGAAAGTTATCATTTATATTAATATGTTTGAGATTATGCATGTGTATATGCATACATGCACACATACAATCAATATGTGCAAAGGTATACGTAGTTTTACATGTTTTTTAACATTATTTTATAAGGTTTTGGTAAAACTTCCTTTCTCTCTCTCCCTCTTTTTTTTCTTTTCTTTTTTTTTTTTTTTTTTTTTTTTTGAGACAGAGTCTCACTTCCGCCAGACTGGAGTGCAGTAGCGCGATCTCGGCTCACTGTAACCTCCGCCTCCAGGGTTCAGCGATTCTCCTGCCTCAGCCTCCCAAGTAGCTGGGATTACAGGCACGCGCCACCACACCCAGCTAATTTTTGTATTTTTAGTAGAGACGGGGTTTCACCATGTTGACCAGTATGGTCTCAATCTCTTGACCTTGTGATCTGCCCGCCTCAATCTCCCAAAGTGCCGGAATTACAAGAGGGAGCCACCGCACCTGCCTGGCCCTTTCTTTTTCTTTTTCTTTTCTTCTTCTCGTTCTTTCTTTCTTTTGTTCCTTCGTTCGTTATTTTGTTTTTTGTTTTTGATTTTTTTTTTTTTTTTTCAGATAGGTGCTCATTTTGTTGCCCAGGCAGGAGTGCAGTGGTGTGATAATGGCTCACTGCAGCCAGCCTCAACCTCCTGGGCTCAAGTGATGCTCCCACCCCAGCCTTCTAAATAGCTGGGACTATAGCTGCATGACACAACACCCAGATAGATTTTGTATTTTTTTGTAGAATGGGGGCTCACTATGTTGCCCAGGATAGTCTCAAACTCTTAGGCTCAAACAATTATCCTGCCTCAGCCTCCCCAAATGCTGGGGTTATAGGTGTGAGCCACTGTGCCTGGCTATTTTTTTATTATTATTTATTTATTTCAGTATAACAAATATATTTATCAATTAAATGTTTGTCTAATATTTGAATTTCCTCTGGATGTGACAGATACCTCTAAAACTTTGAATACTGATACAAGTACATTAATAATTTAATATTTCATGAACAGAAATTTTGCTGAAATATCAGTGATTATGCACAAGTTTAAAAAAGACTATATTAACAGAAAGAAAGTGGTAAACACAGAAAAAAGCATTTCAAGGAATAAGACAGCATTCTGTGCTTATGGGAAAAGAGGCATTAGGTCCAGGAGACACAAGAAATTAGTCATTAGAAATATTTTTGGCCAGCCGGGTGGCTCATGCCTGTAATCCTTGCACTTTGGGAGACTGAGGTGGGCGGATCACCTGAGGTCAGGAGTTTGACACCAGCCTGGCCAACATGATGAAACTCCGTCTCTACTAAAAATACAAAATATAGTTGGGCGTGCTGGCGGGAGCCTGTAATCCCAGCTACTCCAGAGGCTGAGGCGGAAGAATCGCTTGAACCTGGGAGGCTGAGGTTGCTGTGAGCTGAGATTGCATCACTGCACTCCAACCTTGGCAACAAGAGCAAAACTCCGTCCAAAAAAAGAAGGAAGGAAGGGAGGAAGGGAAAAGAAAGAAATATTTTCCATGAGATAAATATTTAAATAAGTATTTTCCTGGTCATGAGGATAGGTACCAGATTTATTTTCAGAGGTTTGGTAAAATATTCTTCCCAAACTATTTTTTTTTTTTTTTGAGACGGAGTTTCGATCTTGTTACCCAGGCTGGAGTGCAACGGCGCAATCTTGGCTCACTGCAACCTCCGCCTCCTGGGTTCAGGCAATTCTCCTGCCTCAACCTCCTGAGTAGCTGGGATTACAGGCACGCGCCACCATGCCCAGCTGATTTTTTGTATTTTTAGTAGAGATGGGATTTCACCATGTTGACCAGGATGGTCTCGATCTCTTGACCTTGTGATCCACCCACCTCGGCCTCCCAAAGTGCTGGGATTACAGGCTTGAGCCACCGCGCCTGGCCCTTCCCAAACTATTTTACTTCCCATGTTCTAATTCTGTGCTCACCAAAAAAATTTTATAATCAACAACCACATGTCTCAATTATATTTATCTGTGGACTAATTAAGGAAAAGGAATATGCTTATATCTAAAACCAAATACTCCCATTATAAATCAATAAATTGGCATTCTTCTATTGTAGTCTTATTTAAATTTAATAAGACTACAATTCTGAATGTCTAGACTACTTCTATTGTAGTCTTATTTAAATTCAATAATACTACAGTTCTGACGGTTCGGAATTTGAATCAGAGGAATGCAAAGAAAAGCCCTTGGGGAAGAAATGACTGTATTAACCAGGTAACAATTCGAATGAGGCAGTGCTATCCATTGGGGTCTGATCTCTTAGAGAACATTACCTGTTCCATCTTCTGTAACAAGAGCATGCACTTCAAGGAAATTCCAGTATCCTTCCCGATTTAACTCAAAAGCATCTGTGTTAATAAACTTGGAGACACAGCCATCTTTCCCTAACTGAAAAGTTAATGAAGAGAACAATTTAAAAAAGTTAAATTTTAAAAGAAAACTGTAAGAAATAGTTGTAACAGGGAAAATGTGTAACCTCACTGAAGCAACTTTAAGAATATTGTATTACCCAAATTTTAGTTTTATAAAATAATCCATTGTGTTTCTATCATTTAAGTTTTTAGTTCATCTATTTACCTCTAACTACATTTGAATTTTTAATAAATATGTGTCCTTACAATATTGTGTTTTAAAAAACTCTTCATGGTGACATTATTTTGTTAATGTACACAATAAACATATCCATCACTAGTCAAATGTATTCACACGATATTTGCAATTTTGGTAATTTCAGCCATATTCTTTTACAGTTTTGAAACTGAGTTTTATATTGTGTTGTTACCATGCCTTGGACATTGATGGGACTACTTACATAGAAGTTAAGAACGTACGTTTTACAGTCAAACACCAGGATTTGAACCCTGGCTTTGCCACTTATTACTTCCTACAAAATGGGATGTTAATAAAGAGCTTGTAGAGTTGTATTACATTAGATAATAACTGGAAGGTGCTTAGCACAGGGCCTGCCATTAGTAAACATTCAGTAAGTAGTAGATTTTTATATTAGATTCCTTTAAATTTTTCTCAGTGTCTAGACAAGTGAGAATGTCTCACTAAGTGAATTTTAAGTGTCACAATTAATAACCAAAGTTAAACAGGAGGAATTGGCAAATATTTTTAAAACGTGGGATAAATTGTATTCATAGATTCCAGGACTATGATATTGGGGAGAAATGGAGTTCTTGTTCTACTCCACCTTACGATGACATGAGGAAATCTAGTTCTTAAGATGTGGGTGACATGTTAAAATCATGTGCCACTTCAGGGGATCCTTGAAACTGTAAGAAGGTTTAGAGGCATTTCCACAAAGTTAAAGGTCTAGAAAAATTTCCATTATACTGAAGATGAATACTTAGATAAATTATTTAGTTCACACTCCTGCTTCACATGTGTATTTTATTTATTTTTTTAACTTTAATTTTAGGTTCAGGGGTACATGTGCAGGTTTGTTATATAGGTAAATTGCGTGTCATGGGGGTTTGGTGTACAGAATATTTCACCACCCAGGTAATAAGCATATTACCCAATAGGTAGTTTTTGATCCTCACCCCTTCCCACCCTACATGCATATTTTAAATTTCCAGATCTCTCAAATCTCCTCAAGAGCATCTATATAACATAGCCTTCTTTGATAATGCATTCTGGGATCTACCTACACTGTGTACTTGACTTACATTGATTTATTCCCTTCTAGAGTGTGCATCTTTTAAAGATTACAACTGCTTCATAAAGTGCAAAACCCATGAGGAGAGGTACATGATCTGTCTTGCTCAACACTGAAGCTTCTAAATAAAATTATCCTTGCCTATTAAAAGACCTCAAAATTTATCTGTTTAATGAATTTGTGGAGAACATTTTTGTATTACGGATATCCTTAAAGATACAACCCCACTAGTTATTTAAATATTTATATGATCTTGGTTGGGGGCACTGGCTCATGCCTGTAATCCCAGCACTTTGGGAGGCTGAGGCGAACAGATCACATGAGGTTAGGAGTTCAAGACCAGCCTAGCCAACATGGTGAAGCCCTGTCTGTACTAAAAAATACAAAAATTAGCTGGGCATTAACGCCTGTAGTCTCAGCTTCTTGGGAGGTGGAGGCATGAGAACTATTTGAATCAGAGAGGCAGAGGTTGCAGTGAGCCGAGATCATACCACCGCACTCCAGCATGGGTGACACACCAAGACTCTGTCTAAAAATATATATATTTATTGATATGCAATGTATTTAACCTCTGTCTGCTTTAATTCACTTATCAGTAAGGGTGTGATAATAGTACCCTCTCACAGTGTACTATGTGTTTTGAGAATCAAATGCACATAAACTACTTTGCTCAGTGACTGACATAAAATAAGCATCCATTAAATGTTAGCAATTATTACAATTGTTACTACTGTTAGTGTTTATTGCCCAAAAATTTTTTTAGAGAATGAGAAGGTTCTTAATTATTTCCAAACTAAAGTATTCTCTAAGCAGAACAGGAATATATGACTGTATACGCGTGTGCCTCTATATGTGGATAAGTCGTATGACACTGTTTGTAGAAAGGGGATTGCAGCTGACAGTTGTATATTAGCCAGTCAGACTCTGGCATGATTATAGCTGAAAGCCTTGCTATGTCCTAGACCAGCCTGTTTGTGTCCATTTTCTGAATGTTGGTTCTCCAACCTTCCAAGTAGATCTTTTAGGAAATTCCTCCTTTGTAAGTTTGGAAAAGTTGATGCTTCTCTTTAGTGATTAGAAACTCTGACTGATAGAGTTCCCATCTGGAGCTCCTATATATACTTATTTCCAGTGAGAATAGATTAAGAGAAACATAATTATGCATTTAATATACTTGAGTACACACAAACATCATCATATCTCCCTGACTAAATCCACAAAGTATAAAATAAAGAACAGAACATATGTTCCTAGTAAATAGATACGGCGTAGATTTTGGTATGAAACCAAATCTATTTTTAATTAAGAATCAAAATTTACTACTTAGTTTCTGATACTATAATTTGCTTTTTGTCAATCAATAGAAAATAAAAGTTATCATGAAAAAAGAAGACTATAAAATTTACAAATAGGAAAAGAAATTCAGAATGAAAGTATGTATTTTTAAGTGTAAAGAGAGAAATAAGAAGAAAGGAAGGTAAATGGAAGGTGAGGATAAAACGTCAATGCAAACTTATTTATAATTTTGCAGATATACCCCTTACCTGAGTGGTAAAATTTTTACAGAGTGAACTGAGAAGATGAGCACAGGAATGATAAGCAGTAGATTCTCTGCACACACTAAGTTGGACCTTCCCGTCCACAGGTTCACCATAGGTATATCTAGTAGAAGGATGTAATAATGATAAATTACAAAGGTCAATGTCATTTTTAATCTGTATAGGGTTTTGAAACTTTTTTTTAGTAGCTGAAACCAGCAAAGTAACAACATACTTTAAATTTTATTTTCTGGAGGAAATCTAAAACAATGATACTGACTAAAATTGAGTTGAATGCTTTAGGCAAAGATGTATTTTAATTAAAAAGGTTGAAATAGACAACATGTAGAAGTCATATATCTGAGTCACTGAAATACAATGTATTACCAAAAAATTAATAGTCAAGGAAAAAATACATTAGTCATTATTTCATTAAAAATAATATTTTTGCATACTGATGGCAATAGAGTATTGAAACACACACACAAAAACAAAATAACATTTTGCTTCTTTTAGCTTTTTGTGTTTTTAAACTGGCATAATGGGCATATTATTATGGTTTTTACTTTTAAAATGTAAATTTATTTATTTATTTATAAATGTCATTTTAAGCCACCAGATTTTCAGATCTTTTCTTTTTGAAAGGAAGAAGTAAAACTCTCTCTCTCTCTCTGTCTCTCTCTCTCTCTCTATACACACACACACACACACACCCACACACACACACATACACATACACACTTTAAAGTTCTGGGATACATGTGCAGAATGTGCAGGTTTGTTACATAGGTATACATATGCCATGGTGGTTTGCTGCATCCATCAACCCATCATCTACATTGGGTATTTCTCTTAATTCTATCCCTCCCCTTATCCCTTACCCCCTACAGGCCCTGGTGTGTGATGCTCCCCTCCCTGTGCTGACTTATGAGTAAGAACATGTGGTGTTTGCTCAAGTACTGTGCTGGGGGATCTGCTGCTGTCTTCAGAGCCATCAGGTGGGAACATTTAAGTCTGCTGAAGCTGTGCCCACAGCTACCCAGGTGTTCTGTTCCAGGAAGATGGGAGTTTTATCTATGAGCCCCTGACCGGGGGACTATCTTTCTTTCAGAGATGCCCTTCCCAGAGAGGAGAAATCTAGAGAGGCAGTCTGGTGACAGTGGCTGTGGTGGGCTCCAATTATATTTGTTTTTAATTACATGGAAGTAAATAAATTTTTTTACTGTTAAAAAATTTAAATAGGTAAAAAGAGCAAAGAACAAAATTGCTTGTAAGAAATAACAGTAGGTTTCTCTGGGCTACATTTTATGATAATTCCTCAATTTCATCTTCCAAATTACTAACTCTCTCTTCAGCATTATCCATTCTTCTAATCAGCCCTTCTATACATATATTTTTAAATAAATAATATGCTTAATTACAAGGTCTTTAATTATTTTAAAAGTTATACTTGACTCATATCTGAGTATATAAATTTTACTTATTTCTAAATTTTTGTTCTGATTGATGTTCAACTATTTTCTAAGATATGTATTGCTTTTTTTTTTGTTTGTTTAATACCTTGATTTCGAGACATTAGAGTCTTCAACCATTTAGTGATTCATATTTTTGTGTTTTGGGATTCCCAACCATTTAGTGTTTTGGGATTCCCAGCTGGCTTGTGCTAGAGCTTTATTTTGCTTATGCAATACTTCTCCAATAAAAATGACAAAGGAGCCAACACACAGCCACTGTGATAGGGAAGTACCTAGACATTTGGGCTTTGGGAATTTCTGTTGCTCAGGGGATTTTCCAGCAATGCTGAAAGTTCCCTGCCTCTATGACCCAACTACAATGAGACTTTTTACTCTCTGCCTTTTCTGCACTCTCCCACTCCATCTCCAGAGGTGAAGCACTAGGTAGTGACATCATCAAAGAGTTAGTTATGGACTTCCAGCCTAAAGCAGACTGAGGCTGGAGGACAGGCAGAGCTTTCACCTTGAAGTTTGGCATGGAATTTTAGATTACTGTAATGAAGATCTTCTAATAACTAGAATTTACCAGGTTTTTGGGGGAAACAGCAATGGAGGTAGGGCTTACAGACTGTCTATATAAAATGGCTACAAGTACTGGGAACAATAAACTGTGGCTAACTGTGTCAGACCTCTGGGTAGGCAAACTTCCCTTAGCCTTCATGTTCCAGGTGCAGAGTGACTTTGACTCTGTTACAGTACATAACATGCTCAAGGACTTAAAACCCCTTTTGTAGCATTACAAAGTAACCAGACTTGTAGGCTCCCTGTGAGATTCACTCCCCTCAGCTGCACCTAGAATGCAATCTACAGATAACCACATGCTTCTGCTTTTCAAAGTTTCCAACAAAGCCGCCACTGCTAGCAATCTTTAGAATGATGCATCAGTTCCTGTTCACCGAAGAATGTTCCACCGTCACACCACCCCCTCCCCACTATTACCTCACCTTCACCCCACCATCTGCTGACTGCTTAAGGTGATTGTAACCAATAAATACTGTGGGTAACCTAAGCTGGGGGGCTTCACTGCCTCCAGTACAAAGTGATGGTCCTCTCGTCCCACTTTCATTCTTAATCTATCTTTTTCTCATTACTTTGTCACCAGCAAACTCAGGGTACCCATGGGTGGGGTGTGGGGGCTGGTTCCCTACACCAGGTCACTTTTTATTTTTAACTAGGCAAAATTAAAAAGAAAAGTAGTACACATGAGTCAGGGACAGAATGAATCCTCACATCAGGTTTGAGGAAACAAAGTTTATGTTTGCACCCTGGCTGTAATTGCTGGTTACATAAACTCTTGTCTATGCTGCTTAACTTAGTGTACATAAGCTCTTGTCTATGCTGCTTAACTTAGTGACAAGAGGGGAAAGCAACATGACCTGCCTGGCTGCTGCTCCTGCCACAGATTATTTCTCACTATATGACCTAAGTCCCTGTCTGCCCTTAGTATCTTCCACACTATGCACCAGCATTACTCTAGAGCCACTTCTAACTCTTAGAGCAGTTTTCTCCATGATATGCCTTGAGCTTCAGTTTTCTTCTATAATCATGTAAAATATAAAGATTGAATTGAGAGAAGTCATTGTAAACACAGGACATTGTCCAATGGAACTATCTGGCAGATGGAATAGTCCATGTTTTGTGTCAATGCTCTTCAATTCAGTGGCCACTAGTCACATGTGACAACTTGAAATGTGGCTAGTGCAACTGAATATTTAACTTTAACTAAAACTTAAATACTCACATGTGGTCAGTGGCTATTGCATTGGCTGGTCTAAAATAGTATGTAAGAAAGACAGCAGTCAGTTGTCTTAAACTGTTACCTCAAACCAGGTGTTTTATTAAAATAATTATTGATGCATGAAAGAATTTATAAAATCAGCAAAATAATTTCCCACCTTCCTTTTTCCTTACCTTCTATATATTTATGTTTTACCTCTTTTTAGTTATCTATCCCATTCTAATAGCTTTCTATGAATATATTATTCTATTGTGTACAATTTCAACTTACAAGGCACAGACATTAACTTTGAATTCAGAGTCCACAACCAAGATACTTTCCGGTGCTTCCACAGTCATTTGAAATTTGGGTAACACTGCCAGCAAAAAGAAAAGTCATATATTATATTATATATGACAATGTATACATTACATATTATTACCATAAACACATTCATACAAAATAACTGTTTCTCCTTTATAAACCATCAGTCTTTGCTTATGTTTGCCATTAACAAACAGTGTGAGGAGGACACTGAAATACGTAAGAACTGGATTTTGGAATCGGATAGAAAAATGCATATTTTGAATTTCAAATTCATCACTTCTCAGGTGTTGAACTTGAGAAAGTGTCTCTCAATATCTTCATCTGTAAAACGGGAATAATGACTCTACAATTGAAATTTCGTGAAGATTTTATGAGAAAATACAAAGGGACTAATGGCTAACATATGACTAATGACTAATGTTAATTCCATTCTTTTCGTAAGAAGTACTTTACATCCCAGAAACCATCAGGTAAAATAGATCCCAAAAGGAAGATAAAATAGAGAGCCTAGGTGAACGGAGAATTGCAAAAAGATCATGGGCTGAACTAGGGGATAAAAATCAGAGTAGATGGAGAAGCCTAAAATAGTAACGGAGAACAGGGAAAGAGGAAAGGAAGAGATACTCACTTAAGAAGACATTATTTAATAATCCCACCCTTGCAAAATTGGAATGATTTTGTAATTTTTAACAATAGGTAACATTTTCATTGCTATTATTTACCATATTCTTCCACAGAGAATAAGTGATATGTTTTCTTCTCATTAAGCATCTCCACAGTGATTTGATACCATCCAAGGATGGGCTCTGAGATTAACTGGAAGGAGAGTTGTAGAATACCTCCCACAGACTCTTCATTCATCCACTGTTGTATTCGATTGCCTTCTGGATCCTAAGAATAAGAAAATGTATTCTGTTTCATGTTGGATGTTTTTATTCATTACAAAGTTTCAGCAGGGTGTTTCCTACTTAGAATTCTAAACTTACTCAGGATTCAAAACATAAGTGTGTTCTCACATTCTCCAAGGAGAATTGGTTACTCTCATCTCCGGGGTCACACAGCTGCATATTACAGCACTTAGCATATTTTAGAGCTAGCTGTGATTTTTTTACATTTATTTTTTCTGTCAATCTCTGCTTTCTTAAGGGCAAGCCATATTTTATCCCCAGTGCATAAATCATTAAGTATACATTTATATACATTCAATAACTAAGCACTAAATGAAATAAAATCATACTTGCCTATTGTCTATATTAGTGGGTGGATGCAAATATGAGTCACATGTTGGCGGGGTGGGGGAACAGAAACCCACTTCTGTCCTCTTGAGGCTGTCTACGTAAAATAAATAATTCTGTGACAATTTAAATAGGCAATCTTCCCTATGAGCTGCCTTTTGATTTTGAGGTTTGGAGAGATGTTCAAAAAATTAGAAAACAATTCTTCAACTAGCTTACCTTAAGGGTGATCACTGGGTACTGAAATAAAAATAAAAATAATGTTAATATATGAACTCAAGGGTTTTATTTTTCTAGATGAGTGAAGAGGTTAATGCAAATCTATTATTAAGCTAAGAAATATAAACACATTTAGGACAACCCAAACAAACACTGGTTTCTGACTGAAAGTTTGAATATCTATTGATTATATTGAAACTTATTTGCCTTGTTTTCGAGAATTTTCATTTACTTTTCTCTTTCATAACACACAGTCTGCAGTGTCAGTACGCAACCCTGGCCTTAGGTCTCTGAACATAATAAAAATGCTCTCTTAGATGAATAATAACTTCTTTATCAACAAATTCATGGTCAGTCTTCACTCTGGCCACTGCGATGTTCTACACTGCTGGTTGCCTCTTTTTTAAATACTCCAATTTTGATTTCTATATCTAGCACTATTTTATTGTCTTAGATTTTTGACCATTCCTATACTCCATCATTTCCTTATCAGACAAATAAATAAATGTCGGCATTTGCCCAAGTTCCCCTTACTGAGTCTTCTCTCCTTTCTTCTTCCAACTCTCTATATCCTCTCAGTTCTCTCCAGTGTTTACCACTCTTCCCCGCTCTAAACCTATAGAGTCAAGAGTTTGACTCATTTCTTAGTGCATCCTCTCAGGACCCTAAAACTAACAAGTCAAAATTAAAGACTCTTAGGCCAAAAGCCCTCATGTGAATAGGCTGATGAGAAGTTTAAAAATGAGTATGTAGGGTCCTTTGCCCATTCCCCAAGTGACTAAGTGCTCCTTCCCAGTAATTGCAGCATTTATTCATGAATAAAACATAATGTGTCTGGAGATAGGAACATGATTCATAAACTTTGTCCAGAATTCTTAGAACTGAGAAACATAACAGTTGAATTAAGGGCCCCACTTGTTCTAAATTCATGGAATTGAATCTCAGTGAATTATTGAGATAGTGTTGAAGAAAGCTACTGCTGCATCATTAACTCAAGCATTAAGAGAAGTAGAGCTTCTCATAACATTTCCTCACAAGAAGGAAATAAAAGAACATATTACCTAAAGGTGCCATGCAAAGACATTAAACATTGGCCATTTGAATAAGACTCTAATAATGAGAAATGAAGTTAGAGTACTGTCCCTTTTTGTTTTCTATTTGTTATACTTCCAATGCAGATGGCTTCAACTGTGTCCAACAAATATTTTATTACTTAATTTGTCTTGTTGTTTTTATTTTTTCTGAGCTTGGTCTATTTAAAAAAACTAGTGAACAAGAACCTACTAAAACCATATGTTCATTGTTCTAAGCTGCTTGATTTTTCCCCCAAAAAATTATTAAAATGAGGCTGATTCTGCTCTCATCACTAATGACTGTCTGCATTAAATTGTGTATGAACCAGCCAAGAACCAATAATACAACTCCTTCATGTCCCCTTCTGGTTCATACTATGTCTCTCTGTCCACAGACAGGGCCTCTTTTTAGAGGACAAGTAGTTCCAGGTCTTAAGATAAGTTTAAAGGAAGATTTGAAACTTCTTGATGCAAGTAAAACTGTCTGGAAAAAAAAAAGTTTCAATATTCTACAAAATACTGACCTAAAGGGAAAGAAAGGCACCATCAGTAAAGAAATTGCAGAAAATGAAAGACAAGACTGATGGGCAGAAGAAACTAGGTATATGCTTTATATCTTGGCTCATTTCATAATGAGCCAAGTTGCATCATTACTGTATTGTGATTATGTAGTCAAATTTATTATGAATGCCCAAACCTCATAGGCCGGTCATGCATTGAATCTATTTATTTAAATGGAATACCAAACTGGATAATGTCCAGCATTTAGAAACACTGGCTTGGAAAGATAAAACCACATAATCTCTTAGCTGCCATCATTTTTGGAAATGCTACATCAATTTCTGTCTCTATACATAAGCACACGCAGTTTGCTGTGCCATGGAAACTCCTTGCCTTAAACATTTGGTACAAATGATCTTCTTATCTATGACCCATATTTGAAGGAAGAGCCCAGTAATCCTGTTGTTCTTATGCAAATGTAGTTATTACTAAAGCAGGGAGTTGGATAATCAAATTTAGCCTAATTGACAATATTAAGTAGTGATGCGGGGGTGAGAACTAATAAGGGAGCTATATAATGTTGCAACTGCTTTTATTTTCAAGAAGCCCTTTACTTCCCCATGGTGCTTCCAATCAAGGATGACTGTCAAAGGATTGCAGTAGAAATTCTCCATGAACCAAGGAGAACAGGAAGCACATGCTATCATATGGAAGCGATTTCAATTTAGATTAAGACAAGGTCTTTGGAGCACTAAAAATTAGATTCCTGCTCTGGGAATTAAAACTAAGCAAGAATCTAGTGAATGTATCATAACTATAGAAGATGGGGAAAGGAGGTGCATTAAAAGTGATGCTGTCTTAAATATGTTAAGATGAAGTACAATTTGGAGGAGGAAAAGGCAGTAATGGAGAAACCATTTGCACAGCTCTGTAAGCTTACAAAGCTTCTTCGTAACTGCACTTAGCTGACAGATTGACCTGAGAGACCACAAAAGAATGCCTAGTTCTAACATGTTTCTAAACTACATGAAATGAAATTTGTTAAGTATCCTGTTGTAAAGACCTCAGTCTTTCCCAGGTCATGATTCATTGTCTTTTGACATTCTCATTATTAATCAACTTTGTCCTCAGATTGTCTCTAGCAGGACTGTAGTCTCCTGCTTATGTCTCAGACTATCATCACCATGTTCCTGCTATGTATTTAGTTCCTTAACTCTACATCAGTATCTGTGAAATAACTTCTCTGAATTTCCCATTAGGGAAAGTGAGGCAGCGTCACTTTCCCTAATGGGTAGCAACACTTCCCCCTTGACTAGGCCGGTGTAAATAAAGAGTAGTATCTGGAAAAACTGGAAGGGGTCCTGAAACACATCCCCAGTCAGGTTATTTCTTTACTCTACACACAAACTGCTCCTCTATGGCCAATTGTAACTCAACTGCCTTCACAACATGGCACGAAGCTTCCTTTTCAAATGGTTTCCACCATAACCTTCTATGTTTGTTTTAAGTTTCAGCAAAGCTGGGCTATGACTATTCCCTAAATCCTGATTCTCTACCCACATGCCTTCACTAACATTTTTTCTCTGCCTACAGTATCTTTTAGCCCTACTTTATACATTTGATCCTATCTGTTCTCTAAGGAGTGCCTTGATTTCACCTACCCTGTGACATCTGTATCAGGCATGGCCGATGCTCTCCCCTTTAGATCCCTTTTTCTGGTTCTTTGCAACCACTGCTGGCTCCATTGTGTTTTACTTCTAACAGCTTTCACCTCTGAATTTTCTGAGAGGCCTCTTTTGGGACCTTCTGTCAAGTTCCCAGGGGTTTACTTCTATGTTAGGGGGTACCCAGAGCCAATAACTACCTGATGCTGGAGTACAAAAGCCCAGCATTAGTTCCTAAAGTGGAACAAACTCTGAAGTGTAACTTATGCTCCAGAGCGTCCTGCCAGTCAGGCTGAAGACTTTGTCCAAAATCGATTGTACCCATGCTTGGCTTCTTTCCCTCCCTTCTCCTGCTTCTCTCAACTCTTTACTGGTTTCTCCTGGCAGCACTTTCTTAATAATTCAGTTGTCCATTTTTCCCTCTCTCAGAATCTGATTCTGGAGAAGTTGACCTAAGATAATACCTCTCCCGTTAGCTCCAAATATGAAGCAGCCACAATGCTTTAATTCACTCGTTACATAATTCACTCTTTCAGTCATTATATTATTGTGGCTCAGCTCACTGGCTCATGCCTTTAAAGTCAGCTCTTTGGGAGGCCAAGGCAGGAGTATTGCTTGAGGTCAGGAATTTGAGAATAGCCTGGGCAACACAGCAAAACCCCGTCTCCATACACACACACACACACACACACACACACACACACACACACACACACACACATTAGCTGGGCATAATGGTGCTGCTGGTAGTCCAAACTACTCCCGGGGCTGAGGCAGGAGGATCATTTGAACATGGACGTTAAGGCTGGTGAGTTATAATCACACCACAGCACTCCAGTCTGGGCAACAGAGCAAGACTCCATCTCTAAAATACATACATAAATAAAATATTCACTCCATATAACATTGCTCATTCACTCAATACATAATTTAATAATGGTATAATATTAAGAGCCGACTATCTGTTGTATCCTATTCTTCCAGATGTCAGGAATATAGTCATGCATGTTGCTTCATTTGTGTTCTTCTCCAACAACCTCTGTTCTAATGTAATCATTCTGGGGCCTGAAAGAGTATCTTCCCTATCTTTGACTCTTGGCTTACTTAGCACAGTGCTTTATAAGCAGTAAGGATTCAGTAAATTACAGACTTTTACTTGTGATTAGGAAATACGTTTAATTGTGTTGACCAAAGAAAGAGAGAGTGAAAAAGAAGAAAAAAGGAAAAAGTTTGATGGTTAGGGAAGAACACATAGGCTAATAAGAATGTAGAACTAATAACTTAGACTGGCCTGCCTCGTTTTCATGGATTAGCTTTCAGAAGCAAAACCATGCGCAAATATCTACATATTTCTAGCTGTAACTTACCATTTCATCAACTGGCTTCAAATGATCATCCAGAGACACAACTTGAAACATCACTGAACAAAGAAAGAAAGATGATGTAAAGAAAGTAATTAACTTTTGTGTCATCACAGCTTTCTTCCTACATTGATTAACTTAGGTGAATCAAAAAGCACGAGGTTACTACCATCTGTGATGAGGAGTTACATGCACATTTTAGGTAAGACATATTGGATTCCAAGATTACCAGGTTGAGCTTATTAAGTTATGCTGCCAAAAGAACTTCCTGTCTTTCTTTTGTACTTCTATCCCTGCTTTCTCTTTCTCCTCTTACTCATTATCACAACATGTGCTCAGGCAGCCTAATGACTTCATTAAAGAAAGACAGAGGAAGCAGGTCACTTAATTGTTAGAACAATTCCTCACAGATACTGCACACATACTTATTCAATGTGTGCCTTTTCTGTGTATCCCTCAACAACCTATCTTCTTATTCCCTTAACCTGCAGTGGAAGCACTTGCAATCAGCTGTATACTCTCACTCTTAGATTCTTAGCCATCTGTGTCCTATCCCCAAGTTGGATCGCAGCCTGATGGACCTTCTCAAACTCATGTTATTGTGCTGTCAGTAAAATTCATTCTCTTTTGAAGATGTTTCTCTATGCCCCATTTATCTTGCAAAATACTCCAACCTTTTTTTGCCCTGAAGTTGCCTCTCTCTCCCTTTAGGTCTCTACAGTGAAGACCTCTCATCTTCCACATGGCTTGAAGAGGGAAATAAGTAACTTCCTGATTCACAACTCCAATAAAACATTTTTTTCTTGCGTTTTAATTCAAAAGAGAGAAACTACTATTTTAGATGCCATTAGTTTCAGAAAAATTATTCCTGCTGATGTCATCTAATGACTTTCTTGTTGTCATAGAATGTCACCTAGCTAACGGTCATCCTTTCTGCTGCTTAGATGTCAATGGGAAATTTTGACATGCTTTAAGGGAAATGAGGATTCATGTGAAAATTGGTATTGGTCATCATACCGAGCTTCTGTACTTTGGAAAAAATGTAAATTACTAATGACAAGACTCTGTTGTGATCTGTCTATACATACTTTCTGTCTCTTTGTGTTTTCAGGTTCCTTTAAAATTCGACTTTGTTAATCTTATTCTTCCAGATTATTGACTCTCTCCTACTTTCACTTATTCACACATTAATTTTAAAAGTCTTTATTTTTAACCTATTTCATAATTCTATTCATATGTATATGCGAGTATGGGTGTCAGATGCTAAAATTTTTTTTAAAAAAGACTTGCTGTTTGACTATCACAGGATTTATGAGATTGGGAAATGCTGATCCCATTATATCCCATGGTTTTAAATGTGATCTCTACGTTGATGGTTCTTCAGATTCGTATCTTCAACCCTTTCTTTTTCTTTCTTTCTTCCTTCCTTCCTTCCTTCTTTCCTTCCTTCCTTTCTCTTTCTTTCTTTTGAGACAGGGTCTCACTCTCGTTGCTCAGGTTGGAGTGCAGCGGCAGAAGCTCAGCTCACTGCAGCCTTAACTTTCCAAGCTCAGGTGACCCTCCCACCTAAGCCTTCCAAGTAACTGGGACAACCTGCCCCACCACACCTGGTTAAGTTTTTTATACTTCTAGTAGAGTTGGGGCTTTGTCATGTTGCCCCCGCTGTTCTTGAACTTCTGGGCTCAAGTAGTCTGCCTACCTCGACTTTGCAAAATGCTAGAACTACAGGCATGAGCAACTGTACCTAGCCCTACCCCTTTTTCTTACCTAAAGTTTCATAAATACTGCTTTTTACTTGACATATCTGCTTGAGAACTTAAAAGATGTCTCATCCTTAGTGTGCCCAAACATGTAATCTTGATTTATTTCCTCTTGCCCTACACTTCCTTATAGTAAATGGCAATTTTGTCTTTCCAGGTGTTCAGGCTAGGAATTTTGGACTCATTCTTATTCCCTCATTCTTGTCATTCCCCCATTCTCATTCCCTCCTTATATTACACTTTACATCAAAACATACCTTAAAGATATTGCCTGCTGTTTCTCTTGCCCAGAATGATTTACCCATGCATGGTAGACATTCTCACTTCATTAAGGTCTCTGCTTAATTATCTTAAAACACTTTTCCCCTCTAAGTCTAATCTTTTCACCTACTTTTTTAGCACCATCATTTAAAAATTGACTTCTGTTTAACACCAAAACTGTCCCTTTCTTTGTTCAAGATGTAATCATCTTTTGTTTGGACTCACAACTGTCACTAACTGGCTCTCTGTCATTGGTGTTGCCATAACCTAGCTAATCTCTCTATGATTATCAGAGCTACTTTCTGAAGACTAAATCTTATATCTTGAATTTTTGCTGATGAAAACCTCCTATTGCATAAACGTCAGTGTCTTCATAACTTAATGTGTAGTTATCATTCCTTTTGTTTGATAACTTAATGGGTAGTTATCGTTACAAGTCACACATTACTTTTGGTTAAGTCCTGAGTTGGCCTTCTACCATAGCCGCCTCTTCAGCCATTCCCATCAAGACACCTAACCTGAAGCCATACGGTGGGCCTTACCTGCAGTTATTTCACCATGAGCACTGTCTTAACTTCTGGCATGGTTATTTCTATAATAGCCCTTTCTTTCCCACACAGAGAGGCTGCTTTTCCTTCTAACCTGGCACTGAAAGTTTGGATAGCCCTTCTTTAATTCTCCCAGACATAACTAGAATCTGCTTTGCTGAAGACTTTGTTTATCAGTCAAGTACCTTATCCCTTCTTACTCTAAATGCATTCCTATATATCGTCTTTGATATACTTTTTTTTAATACCTGAATTAGTCACTTTCTGCTCTATCTAGTTACTGTACTTTTTAATTATATTTTGTTCATACCACTATATTGCTGTTAACACAGTGCATTATAAATATGTGAACTTTCTAGGTCAGTTTCCTGTTAATAAATTTTGTATTACTCTTCACTTCTACATTGCTACAGTGTATCAGATTATCCAGGTTCAATATCCACAAAGCAAGGGTTCAGTAAATTGTAAATCAAACAGACTTTTAAACCGTATTAAAATATGAAGATTGTACCAGATCTTTTACTATCATATAATCTACTATTTATTTGAAGGGCAGATTTTTACAGAATCAAGAATCAATGTCTCCTAAAATGTCAAATAGTTTAGGTAGTATTTTAATTCATGGTAGTTTAATGTAAGATAACCTGTGCTCATTAAAGAAAATTAAGAAACATTTCCTGCGATAGAAACAAGTTGAACTATAAATCAATTACACACACAAATCTAAAAACATACTGTTCATGTCTTGTGTGTTTGCACCTATATGTGTATTCTATATAGGATGTCTTTAATGATAATATAGTTTTCCTATTTAAAAAAATTTACACAAGCTACAATAGGTGTTTGAGAATTATATCAATCCCCAGAAAATATCTGTGATAGTTGCACAGTAGTAAGTCATGTACAGATAGCTTTTACTACTATTCCTTTTATAGGTAGGGTACCCTTATTATGCAAGATGTATTCTTGAAAATCTCAGTGTAAAACTATTTTATTTAGGAGTTATGTTGTTAAAAGATTACATGTATTACTATAAAAGTATAGCCCTCATGTAGCCATAGCATAAATAACTGATAATGCAATCAGCTTGTTTGCTTTAAAACTATGGCAACTGTAAATTTTCTGTCAGTTAAAACATTGGGGAAAATATTTTCATTAACTAAAATTACATACAAGAGTGAGATTATAAAAATATACTTTCACATCATAAACTTTCAAATCCATATAATTTAAATTTACATAATTCACAAATATTTCTAGTGCACTAATTGTCAAAATAGCACAAAATTGTCAAAACAGTACAAAACTACTTTCTTAATAGAATGACAGTGGTTGTCAGTATAAACAATATACAGTATTCTTTTCTAGATAATGGGAATGCTATTGCTTTCTCTGGATTAGTAGGTAAACTAAAATAACATCTTCTCTGTAATTCTTGGAAGTCGAAGTTTAAGAGTTTTATTTGAGAGCTTAAAAAAACCTTTTAGATTTTTGGTGATTCTTTTTCTCTAATTAAGTGCCTGGTGTCTGTTATAGATTTATCCATAAGTATGTATTTTCAAAAAGAGACTAAAAATGTATTGAGTTCAGTGTTTAAATAAAGAACATGTTTTACTGTTCTAAATCTTGCATTTTAGCAGGGGTAAATGCTTTAAAGAAATGCAATGAAACTCTTAAAACAAAATTTCAAGATACAAGAAGTAGTTGGCTATTATATTGGGGGAGAGACCTTTTGCAATCTGAAGTTATATGGGGAAAACCTACTCCAAATTTCTTAAGGGCTACCTTGTGCTCATGGCTCACAAGGTAGCAGAAAAACTAATTGGCTCTCCTGTCTTTATTTCAGATCTCAGAGTTAAATTTCATGATGTGCCTTATCTTTGATCTTGGTCATGTTTGGGCAGAGGTGATAACAATGATAAAAGCCAGTCAAACAAGTACCCACTTTTCAGTCAGGCAAATACTTCTGGTCAAGCCAGGAACTCAAAGAAGGTGTTAATTGCAAATGTAGGAAGCTGAAGAACAAAAAGTTTCAGAAACATACCTGGACAATTTCTGCATCCTCTCTTTAGAGTTCCAAATGCCTACATTTGCAATACTGTAGCCATCAATAGTTTTCTATAAAATCGTTAGCCTGCACTGATGTTCTATCTCCTGTAATTTCTCAAAGGGAGGAGGAGAGATGCATATACAGACATCAAAATGCAGGTGGCGACTTCCAGGCAAAATACAGGTAAAGGAATAGGAACAATTCCAATCTCCAGATCCCAGTGAGATTGTCACAGAGGTGTGTGATTTCCGCATTTCCAAGTGAGGTACCCAGTTCTTCTCATTGAGACTGGTTGGACAGTGAGTGCAGCCCACAAAGGGCGAGCTGAAGCAGGGTGGGGTGTCATCTCAGCAGGAAAGTGGAAGGGGTTGTGCGATTCAACTCCCCTAGCCCAGGGAAATACTGAGAGACTGTACTGGTAGGAACGGTACATTTTGGCTCAGATACTGCGCTTTCCCGACAATCTTCGCAACCCTCAGACCAGGAAGTTTCCTACAGTGCCTATACCACCTGGGCCCTGGGATTCAAGCATAAAACTGTGTTGCCTGGATACACAGTGGGCTAGCAACAGGAGAGTTTGTTGTTCGTACCCCAGCCACACTAATAAAGAAGAATCAAATAAATGCAATAAAAATTGATAAAGGAGATATCACCACTGATCCCATAGAAATACAAACCACCATCAGAGAATATTATAATCACCTCTATGCAAATAAACTAGAAAATCTAGAAGAAATGGATAAATTTCTGGACACATACACCCTCCCAAGACTGAACCAGGAAGAAGTCAGATCCCTGAATAAACCAATAACGAGTTCTGAAATTGAGGCAGTAATTAATAGTCTACCAACCAATAAAAGTTCAGGGCCAGATGGATTCATAACGGAATTCTACCAGAGGCACAAAGTGGAGCTGGTACCATTCCTTCTGAAACTATTACAAACAATACAAAAAGAGGGAATCCTCCCTAACTCATTTTATGAGACCAACATCATCCTGATACCAAAACCAGGCAGAGACACAATGAAAAAAGAAAATTTCAGGCCAATATCCCTGATGAACATCGATGCAAAAATTCTCAATAAAATACTGACAAATTGAATCCAGCAGCACATCAAAAAGCTTATTCACAACAATCAAGTCAGCTTCATCCCTGGGAGGCAAGGCTGGTTTAACATACACAAATCAATAAACGTAATCCATCACATAAACAGAACCCATGACAAAAACCACATGATTATCTCAATAGATGCAGAAAGGTCTTTGACAAAATTCAACATTTCTTCATGCTAAAAACTCTCAATAAACTAGGTGTTGATGGAAAATATTTCAAAATAATAAGAGCTATTTATGACAAATCCGCAGCCAATATCATACTGAATGGACAAGACAAGGATGCCCTCTCTCACCACTCCTATTCAACATAGTATTTGGAAGTTCTGGCCAGGGCAATCAGGCAAGAGAAAGAAATAAAAGGTATTCAGATAGGAAGAGAAGAAGTCAAATTGTCTCTGTTTGTAGACGACATGATTGTATAGTTAGAAAACCCCATTGTTTTAGCCCCAAAACCCCTTAAGCTAATAAGCAACTTCAGCAAAGTCTCAGAATACCAAATCAACGTGCAGAAATCACAAGCATTCCTATACGCTAATAACAGACAAACAGAGTCAAATCATGTGCAAGCTCCCATTCACAATTGCTACAGAGAATAAAATACCTAGGAGTACAACTAACGAGGGATGTAAAGGACCGCTTCAAGGAGAACTACAAACCACTGCTCAAGAGAGGACACAAACAAATGGAAAAAAATTCCATGCTCATGCATAGAAAGAATCAATCTTGTGAAAATGGCCATACTGCCCAGAGTAATTTATAGATTCAATGCCATCTCCATTAAGCTACCACTGACTTTCTTCACAGAATTAAAAAAAAATTACTTTAAATTTCACATGGAGCCAAAAAAGACCCTGTATAGGCAAGACAATCCTAAGCAAAAAGAACAAATCTGGAGGCATCACACTACCTGACTTCAAACTATACTACAAGGCTATAGTAACAGAAACAGCATGGTGCTGGTACTGGTACCAAAACAGATATATAGACCACTGGAACAGAACAGAGGCCTCAGTAATAATATCACACATTTACAACCATATGATCTTTGACAAACCTGACAAAAACAAGCAATGGAGAAAGGATTTACTTTTTAATAAATGGTGTTGAGAAAACTGGCTAGCCATGTGTAGAAAGCTGAAACTGGATCCCTTCCTTACACCTTATACAAAAATTAACTCAAGATGCATTAAAGACTTAAATGTAAGACCTGGAACCATAAAAACCCTAGAAAAAAACTTAGGCAATACCATTCAGGACATAGGCGTGGGCAAAGACTTCATGACTAAACCACCAAAAGCAATGTCAACAAAAACCCAAATTGCCAAATGGGATCTAATTAAACTAAAGAGCTTCTGCACAGCAAAAGAAACTATCTTCAGAGTGAGCAACCAACCTACAGAATAGGAGAAACATTTTGCAATCTATCCATCGGACAAAAGGCTAATATCCAGAATCTACAAAGAATATAAACAAATTTACAAGAAAAAACAACCCCATCAAAAAGTGGGTGAAGAATATGAACAGATACTTCTCAAAAGAAGACATTTATGCAGCCACCAAACATATGAGAAAAAGCTCATCATCACTGGTCATTAGAGAAATGCAAATCAAACCCACATTGAGATACCATCTCATGCCAGTTAGAATGGCAATTATTAAAAAGTCAGGAAACAACAGATGCTGGAGAGGATGTGGAGAAATAGGAATGTTTTAACACTGTTGGTGGGAATATAAATTATTTCAACCATTGTGGAAGACAGTGTGGTGATTCTTCAAGGATCTAGAAATAAAAATACCATTTGATCAACCAGTCCCAATCCTGGGTATATAACCAAAGGATTATAAATCATTCTGCTATAAAGACACATGCACACGTATGTTTATTGTGGCACTGTTCACAATAGCAAAGACTTGGAACCAACCCAAATGCCCATCAAAGAATATACTGGATAAAGAAAATCTGGCACATGTACACCATGGAATACTATGCAGCCACAAAAAAGGATGACTTCATGTCCTTTGCAGGAACATGTATGAAGCTGGAAACCATCATTCTCAGCAAAGTAACACAAGAACAAACACCACATGTTCTCACTCATAAGAGGGAGTTGAACAATGAGAATACAAGGACACAGAGAGGGGAGCATTACACACTGGGGCCTGTCAGGTGTGGTGGGCAAGGGGAGTGACAGCGTTAGGAGAAATACCTAATGTAGATGACAGGTTGATGGGTGCAGCAAACCACCATGGCACGTGTATATGTATGTAACAAACCTGCATGTTCTGCATATGTACCCCAGAATTTAAAGTATAATTTAAAAAAAGAAAGAAAAAAATGCAGGTGGCAGTCACATATGAAGCAACAACAAACTAAATGTGCAATGAGATTTTAATGTACAGTCATAGTTAATTGATTTCACAGTTAATTGATTTTATCGTACAGTCATAGTTAATTGATTACACACCATACTTTTTCTCCAAAAAAAAGAAGCATGATGCTGAGTAGATTATGAATTATTTGTAGCATTATATCTCAGATTATAATAATCAATTTTTTGAAAACTGAATATCTCTCAATTGTATAAGACTCCTGGCTCAATTTCTTTGCTATGTAATAATATTTAATCTGTACATTAGACTCTTTACTAGAAAGTGGATGGATAAGAAATAAAAAACAAGCATTCATTTTATTTATTTATTTTATTTTTTGAGATGGAGTTTTGCTCTGTCGCCAGGCTGGAGTGCAGTGGTGCCATCTCGGCTCACTGGAACCTCAGCCTTCTGGGTTCAAGCAATTCTCCTGCCTCGGCCTCCCAAGTAGCTGGGACTACAGGCAGCATTCATTTTAAATTAAGTTTTAATGTTTCTGTGCTGTTTGAAATGGTAGTCCCCTTCCTCACCTCTGCCTTCTACAGCTCACCATAGCAAGAATCCTAGAAGCCTTTCTTGGACATCCTCTTGTGTCAACCACATTGTGTCTTGCCCCTCGTAAGCACCTCCCACCCCAGCATGCATTCGTACTGTCGGTGCTGCCGCTTTGGGTTTGGCCCCCCCAAACTGTACAGCCACGCCCTTTCTTTCTTCAGTCTTTCCCTGGTGCCTAAGTACTGATCTGAATGCCCTCTTTTGTGAAATGAGGGAAGGAGGCAAAGGGTCGGGGAAGAGGAGTGGAGGGCTGGGACAGCACAATGCATGCAGTGCATGCCTCCATCTCCAGCACATATCCCTCACCTCCGTCTGCTTTGTTCTGGGATCGCAGCGTGTTGGTGCCTAAGCAGGCTCGGATTACACTGATTCCCAGTTCACCCATGACTGCCTCCTCAAGGCATGATCCCCACCTCTGTAGTGACTCCCCATGGGTTTTCCTTAACTGCATGAAAATGCCTCTTTAGTTCTGTATTCAGGGCTTTCCTTGAACTCTTTATTCACTTCAGCTTGTTTTCCTTCCTTTCACTTATTTTCTTTACTCCAAGTAAGTCTATCTACTTCTCATTTTATGGCACAATTTTTAAAATTAATTCTACCTTGTGCTTTGTTATGTACCATTCATCTCATCAGAAATGTCTTGCTTTGACTGCTGTAATCTGTATTTATCATCTCCTTCTGCACCCAAGAGAAGAGAGGAGGCTTTTCAGCTTAATTCAATGTCATACGGATTATTCTATTACTTGGGTAATTCTCTAGTCACTAAGGGTATCTCATTACATGTTCATGACATACTTCGTTGCTGTTTTGTTTCGATGTCAACTATAACCTTGTAAGTTTGCATAAACTAAAATTCAAAATTTCCAAATATGTGATTAGAATGTTATTAGAATAACATGACTATTATTAGACTATTATTAGAATAATATGGATATTATTAGAAAATAAGAATAAGGTGCTCTCTAAAAATACAGTTTCTGAGGCTCTCCACCCCAGACTCATGGAAATGAAATCTCTAGCATTTAGGCTATGTCATCTATATTTTTATTTTGTATTTTTAAGCAGGCTTTCTAATAAATTTTAATACAATAAAATTTCTGAGCTTGTATTCTGTATCATAAATTCGAATATCATATAAGTGATATTAGTTGAAGATAACCTGATTTAGGTACACTCACATTTCTGTCCAGGCTTGTAGAAAGGTTTATCAGTCTGTATGAAGACCAGATTCTCTCTGGATCTGATAGCCACAGATCTCCTCTCTTCCAGATTGAGAGTGGCTCCTTTAGCAGAAAATGTAATAAAAGCCAGTGGGTCAGATCTGGCCTGAGGAACCTAGGGAGCAAATAAATACTCCATGAGATTGATTTTTTTGTCAAGAAATCTCTATTACTGTGTGTTGGTATCACTAAAAGTCTTAATTCATAATTTGTCATAGCTATTTCTTCAATAACCAACCTTCTTTATTTCTCTTGCTTTGTCACTTCCTTATCTCACCATTTAAATGAATAGTTTGCCTTTCTTAAAACTTCTCTTTTCTGTACAAGAGTCATTCTTTTTATATATCTTACTCCCTTCAACAATTTTCTATCCTAAAATCAAACTTTTCAGCTGTTGCCCTTGTTACCATTTATGACTGCACTTACATCATCTCAAACTGAGGACTATATTATTCTTTTAAAAAATTAAAATAACTTTTCATGTACAGTCATATAGCCTGATCTCTATCCCTGAAAATCAGTTATGTGAGTGATATTCACGTACCTGTAATATTATTTTCTATATTAAGCAGAAAGAAGCATTTACCTCAAAGCTGATGCATTTGAAGAAATTTTCTCCAGTAACATTCTCTTCAAATATTTTGGTCTGGATTTCACCATAGTTGAGGGAGACCACAAGAACAGCAGATTCAGTGAGATTAAAAAGCTGGGCACAAGCTTTATCCAAGGAGCCTTCTTGTAGAACAGAAGGAATCAGCAGAACATACTGCCTACAAAATTAGAGCAAGACTATTACAACTGAATGTGCCAATGATTCGTTACTTAGCAATTACTGTGTTAACTGAACAATTTTTTAGTTTAAGAAAAATATGCTATTTTTAAATGTTAGAAGTACATCAAATGGCTAAATCTGTATAAAATAGAAAGATACTGGCCTAGGAATTAAATTTTATAGACTCAAAAAGGAAATCACAATTAAAAACCAGCAAGTAATTTGTGATTAGTTCTATAAAGGTTAACATCGTCAGTGTTCTGATACAATGCTTTTGCCCCCAAACAGACACAGCACATTCTGTTTTGTATTTGCCTACTGTCTGTCCAGTTCCTTTCCCAGCAGCCGTCAGACACCTCTTTCTCAATATAAATATAACGCTGTTGTAGCTCTTAATCAGCATTCTGGACATCTACAAGGCAGAGCTGATGCCATTCAAATTTGAAATTTACTATTCCCATGGGCATATTTTGAATTATATTGTTAAATGGTAATACTATTTAAAATCAAATTACTGCAATAAAAATGTAACACTTGAATTTTTTTTTCTTTTTTTTTTTTTTGAGACAGAGTCTTCCTCTGTCACCCAGGTTGGTGTGCAGTGGCACTATCTCAGCTCATTGCAACCTCTGCCTCTCATGTTCAAGTGATTCTCCAGCCTCAGCTTCTGGAGTAGCTGGGATTACAGGCACGTGCCACCATGCTGGCTATTGTATTTTTAGTAGAGATGGGTTTTCACCATGTTGGCCAGGCTGGTCTTTAACTCCTGACCTCAGGTGATCTGCCCATCTCAGCCTCCCAAAGTGTTGGGATTACAGGCATGAGCCACTGCACCCGACCCGAATTTTTAGAATCAAGCTCTATTTGCCTTCCATGTGAAATAATAAACTGTGTAATCACTTACATGTTTGGAGACTGACAAAAAGTCAGATGAAAAAGAAAAATGCCCAGAAGTATTCTCTTCCACATCATGATCCAATCAGATGAAGAAGTCAAGAAGCTGTGTCCACAAGATCATGTACAGGTCAACGTACTAGGAGCCCAGACAGTCTCAGTAGTCAGGGAAGCCGGCATGAGACTATATATCCATGCAGGAGATTTTGCCAGTATTTCCTAAGTCATTCTTAAAGTTTAAGGCATGTTACTTAACTAAATGCATTCTTTAAATTTTGAACACCTCCCAGTTACATGTCATTAGGTGTGTCATCTAGTTTACAAGATAGTTTTGCATCAGCACTTCCTAGACCTAATTTATGATGCCTATGTGTGAAAATTTCAAGAACAAACTAAACCTCATTTCAATAAATTCAATCATTGTAAATTAATTTGTATCTCACTATTATTTCTTGGTTGAGAGCTAAATCTATTTTGAGAACTCAGTACCAATTTCTGGTTGGCAATAGTTTCATATAGTTATTACAATGGAAGCAATTTAAAAACAATAAAGGCTTAAGGAAGCGCTAATGCAAAAAAAAGATTAAAATATTACCATGTATTTTTATTACTAATTGTTGATGTATTTTCCATACAACATATTTTTGTATGTCAAATATATACTTATGGTTTGAAATCCATGAGAAACAATTAACTTCAGACCTTGAATTTTTAATATGACAATAAAATAAAAGCTAACAAAATTTATAGTAAGAATTACCTTTTATTGTTCCAAATTGTTTACAGATATAACAAGGTACATAATAAAGTAGCAATAGCACTTGTTTATTAATTGATTTAGCAAGATAAATGGCCATATTAAAAATATCCTTAGATTTTACCTTGAAATACAGATATAAGGCAAGCTGGTACTCCATGTGAGGCAAGAGAATAGGATCTGGAGGCAGGGAACATAAGGCTGATTCACACTGACTTCCTAGAACTACATCAAATTGAAACACTTCAGCAATGACAGGAAATATCCTCTCCATTTACATAGAGTGTACACTGAGTAAATGACCTTGTAACTTTACTACATTCTCTTCATTTACATAGGTTGTACACCAAGTAACCAATGGAAACCTCTAGAGGGTATTTAACCCCCAGAAAATTCTGTAATGGGACTCTTGAGCCCCTATGCTTGGGGCTCCACCCTGTGGAGTTTACTTTCATTTTCATTAAATTTCTGCTTTTGTTGCTTCATTCTTTCATTGTTTTGTTTGTGCATTTTGTCCAATTCTTTCTTCAAAATGCCAAGAACCTGACCACCCTCAACTTGTAACACATGCAACAAAGCATGGAAAGAATGCCACAAAATATTATTTAGTCATTTTTTCTTACCTCCTGGGCCCCCCGACATTACTTTGCCAAGGTTGCATCTCTTTTAACACCAAGGTTGCAGAACCCAGGGAATTAGTGGAACGATTCGTCTTTGGAGTGTAAGAAGGCATCCGGGAGACAAAGAGTTGACTTTAACATTTGCATCTTGACATGAACAAGTGAAACTTGTTAAGATGAATCTGAGGTAGGTAAGCCTCTATTGGATCATGATATAAAGATATCCTGGTAGGAATGTTTGTTGAAGCATTACATTTTCCTTTTTTGCATTTCATTTTCTTCTTTTCCTTTACCGAAATTATTGCCAGGTATTTTGTGTTTGAGAGTTTTGACCAAATAAGATGCTCTTAGAAGACAATCCCATGATTGCTGTGACCTTATCATATATCAAAAAGTGGTCTCATTGGGCTTTGCCTCTGATATTGCCCTTTTACTGAAAACAGCAGGAAATCTATTTTACCAACTATTTCTTTCTCTAAAATTCAAGCTAATTATATCACATCCTCTTTAAAAATCCTTTAATGGTCCACTATTACCTATAGGATAAATCCCAAACTCTTTAGGTACAAAAGTTTCTTATGGTTCTTATTTCCCTTTACCCCAACCCAGCTTGCCCACAGATGTTCTGCTTTCTTCCCTGAAAACACCAGCAATGTGCCACATCCTTTCATCTCTCCATGTGTATTTGTGAGCTAAATCTTCTGTCTAGAACCTCTCTTTATATGATATCCTGCCTGCCAGGTACACATATCCTCCTTGTTCTTTTATGATTCTGTTCAAGCTTTCATAATTCCCAAGCTGAAATTAGTTGCTGCTCCTTTTAGCTCATGTAGCTTTACAGGATGTCATGTCACACTGCAAGTATTTGTTTCCTAGTTGGCTGTGGAAATCTCAGAGACAGCCTGAATGTTTTATTCATTGTTGGATTTCCAATGGAAGGAATATGAATGCAAGCACCTCTTGAGTCATTCAGACTTTTAGTCAGTCTCAGGTTTTCCATAGAATCTTGTGTCTGTACAACTGACTGTATTCTTAGGGAGCAAAATAGAATATTAACCCTCCCGGAGGAGAGCTTCTTTCTTTTCACTGAACCTATCCTATGCTGCATTTGAAGTAAGCACTCTTGACTCCCAGATTTTTAAAGCAAACCCATTATTGGAGTGCTAGCTTTCTATCCAGGGGGTGTACACAGGCTTTGTAATGCGGTGAGAAGCAGATGCATCTTTCTGATTACTAATGTTTTCAGTTGGGTTCCCGCTTCCATATGTTACAGAGAACTAGAAAAGATTAAAGCTGATCATCATCTGTATTTAGGGTATGGTCAACTTAATGAGGCATCAGTTTTTATTTTATTGTTACTGTATTTTCACCTAAACTTTTCTAAAAAGGCTGGTATCATGCACTTCTTTACCTATGAACTTTTGGCCAAATCGCAAGACAGTTGCCCTTAATCATTTGACTAAGATAATGAACTATATGCTTTCAATCAACTACTTCCTCTTTATATCCCAGTCGGCTAACAGTCTCAGATAAGTGACTACTTGTGTTATTCTTTGTGAAAGCATCACCCAAACCTACCTCTCTTTATGTTAGCAGGTTACTGATTCCTCGGGCTTTCCTTGCCCCTTGCCACAACACTCATTTCAAAGTGTGAATCTAAAATGATCACTTACTATTGAAGAACACAGTCAGGCCTGTATTTACAGATAGAGTATCTTTATCAATTAAAATGCAGAATATAAATCATACCAGTAGCAGGGCACATCTGGAGATCAAATGCTTTCTAAGACTTTATTAACCCATTACAATTTAGAAATCCAAATCTAACATCAACAACAGGAAAGTTAATATAAGAAATTTCTGAAAGACAAATTAATACATATGTTTGAATTTGTTGAGTAGAAAGTGGATCTTGCAGAACACTTATCTTTTATAAGGAGAATTAAATTTACATTTACAAACACACATACAATCTTGTATCTGATTTGATGGAAGAAATCATAATTATTAAATATTTGAATAATACCCCTCTGATAAATAAATATGTCACCTTTGAGCATACTACATTGACTTGTATATATGAGAATTTTCCTAGATTGCCAATTAGCATCTAAAATTTGAAGTAAATGCCCTAACCTTCTATCTGAGATTCATGTCTAGAATTATGATTTATTTTCTTGTTCCATGAAATTATAACACATGTGGAATGATTCTATTAATATTATTTATACTTGCCTCTGACTCTTTAAGTTACATATGACTTAGGGTATGATTGCTTACTTTTTTAGATATTCCCCCAATCTCAAAAGTGAATTGTACACATTAGACATTATCCAGATTGAAAAATAGATATAAATATAGACCTCTATTTACCAAATAGAAGGTGTATTAGGGAGGTCTATATTTGGTAAAAGTCTTCTAACTGTTTAAATGTGAAACAGTAAGAATAACAGAAAGACATATGTACACATGAACACAGACATACATAAGATTTTTAGGATACAATGACATACAGGAGACAGAGCAGTTTTTTCCAATTCTCATTCTATGCATGGGGAAATCCCCTTCTATTGTGGGAAAAGATTTCATCATTTACTAGAGAGGATCTCATTAATAAAGTTAAAGGTGTGGAGTAAGTCAGAAAAATGAGGGTGTGGGTTGTCTGTTAGGCAAACTGGGAATGCTGTTTCCAGCATATGGGAAAATCCCTCTTTATTCACACACATT